TTTTTTAATGTGGAGGAATGATGATTTATTGAAGGCCTACTATGGGCCGAGTGATTTATTTGTAGACTTTTTGATGATGGCCATTCTGACCATATGAGGTGATCCCTCATTGTAGTTTTGATCTACATTTCTCTAATAATTAGCAATGCTGAGCATCTTTTCATGTGCCTGTTGGTCTTCTGTATGTCTTCTTTGGAGAAATGTATACTTAAGTTTTCTGCCCATTTTTTGGTGGGGTTGTCTTTTTTTTTTGATACTGAGTTGTATGAGCTGTTTGTATATTTTGGAAATTAAGCCTTTGTTGGTCACATTGTTTGCAAATATTTTCTTCCAGTCCATATGTTGCCTGGGAAATTTGTCATTTAAAAAAATTTCCGAAGTGCTGAATGTCACAGGCAGCAATAAAATATTCAGAGGGAAAAAACCATGTGTCTCACACAAAGAAGTGACAATCCTGATAAATGATGATAAAAGAGATGTATATAGAACAGCTGCTTACAAACTGCTGTTTTCAAAAATATGTATTTTAATGACCTTTGCCAAACAATAATTTGGAGATATTTTACATGAAACTCTTCTTGACAAATAAAATTTGTCTATTATTAAAAGTTAGAATTAAACTATGTTTTTAGACAAAATTATATTTGACAATATCACATTTTTCAGATTAAAAAACAAGCTAGTGATATGCTCTGTTTGTTGCTATGGATAATTTTTGCAGAATTTCAGAAAGTGTGAATCCCTGATTGCCAAAATATATGACTGTCTCAAATTTCATTTCGCCTTATTTTAAAGAAGTCCCCACAAAACAATTCTGCCTATCCCATTCTAAATACTGTAAGTTGTGAGAAACAGTGCTTCTAAAAAAATTGGTCTGTACCGGTTATTCATCCATAGCTCTCAGTTCCACAGGAGGCTGGAGGCCTGCACACATTTCCCAGCCTTCCTTGCCAGCTGGCTTCCATTATGACAGTAACATAGGAGTCACTGACAAAAGATTTGTTTTTAAAGCCAGAGGAAGGGCAAATCCACATTTCCCCTCAGCTTCTGGTACTTCTGGCAGCTGCAGCAGCAGTGGAGGCGGTTAAGTGTGGCTCTTGGGTTCCTTCCTGCACAGGCACTGCAGTTCCAGCAGCAGCAACGGGTCAGCCAGCACCAGCACTTGCGGACTTGGCTCTGGCAGTGACAGGCAAAGGTGCAATAGTCATGGTTGACGTTTATACCTCAGTTATTGGTTTCCCAGACACAAAAACCCACTCTCAGACCATTTTCTCCCGCATGAGCCAGCATTAAAAAAATGAGTGTGAATATAACACTCCCCTCAGTGAGGGAAAATGCCCAAAGAATGGTGGAAGATTATTAGATATCAGTGACCCACAGAGCCACTGTAGAGTACTGGTGAGGGTGGGGCTTATGCAGCTCTGCCTTTCTTTATGTCACTTTATTGGGCCCCATGGCAGTATGGTGTTCTTCCTTACAGGTTCTTGATCTCAAGGCTTTGTAAACTACACTATGAATTTACCCAGACATGGATGTTCACATTCATGGCTTATGCCTTTACCTGCACTGAGGAAATAATCATTGGAGCACCCCTCGGGAGAAATGCCTGTTTGTCTCAGGATTTGGGACTGCAAATACCGCTTCTGATTTCCTATTTGGGAAGGAAAAAGAGTTCCAAGCTTGACTCTTCCTGCCAGAATTCAGAATTGCCCTCATTTTAGCAGGCAACTAGGCTTGTTTCCTAGGTATCCATTTCACTTCTGTACTTGTGTCAGGAAAATAACCACAGAGTAAGTTCAGGGGGAAATTTCCCAAAGATTTCAGGGAACATTGTATACACACAGAAAATTTGGAGTATACTGCAAAAATATGGGGAACGACTTTAGGCTTACTGAGGTCTAGGCGGTCTCCTTGACGGAACAGACTGAGGAGGCACCCGGCACCCATTCACGTGGCAAATACATTCTTTTCTGTCCACTTGGACTACTACTAGCAGTATGCCTTGCCTTGGCAGCAGCATATCACCACAACCCAGCCTAAGAGGTAAATAACTCTGCACAACCTAATCCTCAAGACCCTGACCACCCACCCCAAGGACATAATGGTGGTCCACTTCGCTGACATCATGCTGCTTTTCCTAGAGAATGGGAAGTGGCAAGAATCCTGCGTGTTTTGGTAAAACACACCTATGCTTTTTTTTTTCTGGCCATACCGTGAGGCTTGCAGGTGCTTGCGGGATCTTAGTTGCCTGACCAGGGATTGAACCCGTGCCACAGCAGTGAAAGCACCAAGTCCTAACCACTGGACCACCATGGAACTTCCCAAAACACCTATGCTTGATTGGGGACATAAATCCTGGGAATAAAGTGCTCACTCAACCAAGTTTTTGGGGGTCAGCATACCTCTTCCAACAAGTGAAACACAAATTCTACTTGTTCCCTATCCTCTCTATCCTATTGTGCACAAAGCACAGTAGGCCTCTTCAAATTTTGGTGAAAGCATTTACATTTGGGTATTGTGCTCCAAATGCATTTATTGGGTAGCCCTCAAATCTACTACTAAGTGGGGCCTTGAGCAAGAGAAGATTCTCTCTAGGAGGTACAAGCTCACGTTGTCTGTAGCAGATCCAAACCGTATTTGGAACTTGAGGTAAGAATCAGAAGAGATCCTGGTGTTTCTGAGCCAAGACTGCCCATCAGGTTAACTACTAGAGTTCTACTGGAGATTAAGCATTCTTCCACGGGACACCACATAACTCTGCAACCTGGACTGGGTATGATCTTACCTGTGCACCTAGCAGCACCTTACAATCCATTAAATGCAGGTACAGATGGCATTAGGCTTGAATTAACCCTGAAGTTACTAAACTGCCTATTTGTGCCGAAACCAGTAAGATGGCTGTGGGTGGAGAACAAAAATGTTCAAGCTTGGTTTACAGGTAGCTCTGCATGACATGCTGCCATCAGCAGTGAATGCTAAGGAATTATAGCCCCATGCAGGACACCAGTGAAGGAAAAACAGCCCAAAGACAGAGTTTCAAGAAGGTAGGACACTGTCTCCTGTACCTGAAGACAGATGGCTTGTCTGGATCCTGATAGAGGAGCAGGGACTTCCCCAAACAGGCTCAATGTCCCATGTGAAAGCTCACCAAAGGCTTCCTCTGCAGGGGACCAGATGGCCCACTCCTCACCATAACAAAGCCCAAGGCCGTGGGCATAAACCATGGCCCACAATGTGTGCCCATCCTCTCACCCTAGAAATTACGCAGAGCACCTGAAATCCAGGACTCCACTGTGCCTGGGCTCAGTGCCAGGGAAGAGAAGAGCTATTACTAGCCTGAGGGAGGCCACTGCCCTCAGGGATGCAATACCCTTATGGGGGCTGTGTCCTAGGCACTATGATAATCATGGCCCTTTGCTTGCATCTCTATTTCCTGCTTCCCTACCTGAACGTGAGGGATTGCCCATATTCCCTGAAAGGTTTTCATTTCTTGAGGGTCTCAGGTCCTATCTACAACATGGGAATTAGGGAAAGGATTCTGTTTTGTTTTTTCCTCTGGTGGTATCTAGGCAAAGTTCGGTGAATGGTGGCAAAGGGACATAAGCTCTGGCTCAGAGAAACATGTCTCTTCCTCACCCTGGATGCTCTTGGAGGGCCTGCACCTGAGTAGGGGCTGTGGATCTGTATGCTCACTTATTCAACCTTGTGAACTTTATTTTAATATTTATTTATTTAGGCTGCGCCGGGTCTTAGTTGAGGCCTGCGGGATCTTTTAGTTGTGGCATGCGGACTCGTAGCTGCGGCATGCACGCAGGATCTAGATTCCCAACCAGGGATTGAACCCGGGCCCCCTCCATTGGGAGCACGGAGTCTTACCCACTGGACCACCAGGCAAGTCCCTAAGCTTGTGAACTTTAATCACAAGTATTTCTGGTTTGCTCCAAGTGTTTGACAAGCCACACTGACCTTATAAAGGTCAATCAAGCCTCTGCCAGCACCAATCTGGTGTGTGGTCCAAGGAAGCTGCACTGCCAGGGTAAATGTGGGTCACTGAGGCCAAGGGTGGAGAGGGCCACCGGAAGAAATGGGGTCTTCTTGCCTTCTGTGTCTTGGGCACACCAGACCCTGGCCAGCAAAACTCAGGGTCAAGCAGAAGCATATCTTTGGCCAATGGCTACTTTGTGGCTGTTACTGGGTGATACCTGCTCCTTGCTGGAGCCTGAAAGCCCTAGATCAGGGGTCAACAAACTTTTTCTGTAAAAAGTCATATAGGACTTCCCTGGTGGTCCAGTGGTTAAGACTCTGCACTTCCACTGCAGGAGGCACAGGTCTGATCCCTGGTAGGGGAAGCTCTGCATGCCACATGGTGCGGACCCCGCCCAAAAAAGTCATATAATTGGGGGGAGCAGCTAAATTAGGAGTTTAGGATTAAAATATACACATTACTATATATAAAACAGATAACCAGCAAGGACCTGCTGTACAGCACAGGGAACTATATTATCTTGTAATAACCTATAATGGAAAGGAATCTAAAAAAGAATAGATGTATAACTCAATCACTCTTCCGTACACCTGAAACTAACAAAACATTGTAAACCAACTATATTTCAATTTAAAAAGGCATATAACAATATTTTAGACTTTGCAAGTCATAAGGTCTCTGTTGCACCTGCTCATCTCTGCCATTGTAGTATGAGAGCAGTTAATGAATAACTGTGGCTGTGTTCCAATACACTTTATTTACAAAAAGAAGCAATAGGCCAGATTTGGCCCAAGGACTACAATATGTCAACCACTGGACCTTGAGGATACTCAGGAGATGACCTGGCTGCCGAGGGGACTATGCTCCTCTGTGAGATGGAAACTTCTAAGGTCTGGCGCTTTGCTAAGAGTTGTACATGGGTGCAGAACAGGGCACTCTGTGTGTGGAGTTTCTGACCAAGTGATGGGTGCTGAGGCCCAAAAGTGAAAGCTGCATTGGAATAGGTAGAGCCTCCTCCTTCATAAGAAACAACTGCTTTATTCCAGATCAGGCCCAACCCCCATACCCCCATGGTCCCTGGGTGGACACTGTCCTTACTGGGCCCTCAGGAGCCCTTGTGCTGTGGTCTGACCACCAGCCCCTCTCTGGTGATGGCCCAGTTGTAGCTCTTGGGGGAGTCCAACGCTTCTTCCACCCGCGCCTCCAGGTTCTCTCGGGTGATGAAGTTTTTTGCCTCCTCCTATTGAAAGAGAGAAGGCCAACTGAATGCAAGCCCTCAGAACATGCCTGCTAGCCTTTAGCCCACTGAGGGAGGGGCTCCAGCTCTCCTGTGGGAAAGATGTCTGCAGCCCAGGTCTTCTCTGAGCACCCCGCTGACCTTCCAGTGGAAGAATATCAGGCAGCTTTGCCACATTCAGTTCTCCTAGACAATCATCCCCTGGACACTTCGGCCAAAACCCAGACACACCAGCTGTGACAATTCACTGGGTGGAATCAGTCTCTCAATAGTGCCTATAGATCTCTCAATCTCTCTCAAACTGTCCTTCTCCCTCTATTACTTTAACTCAAGCCTCATCCATTCTCGCTGGATCACTTCTAACTGATTTTTAAGTCTCACACCTGGCAACCCAGGCCAAAATGTTTAAACCCTTCGGTGACTTTCCCACCCTCACGGCAAAATATAAACTCCTTGGGGAAGGCGGGGGCCAGTCTCACAGACAGTGGCTAGCCAAGTGGCTAGCCACGTGAACACTACTGCAGTGTCAACTCTCACCTCCGTTTCTTCGCGCCTGACAGGCACTCTCCCTGCACGCTTCCTCTTCCATATCCTCACCTGCTAACCCCGTGTCAAGACTCAAGGCTACTCTCTTCCAACTCTGCATGTAGCCGCGGCCCCACCTCCCCCACCTGGCTGCGCGCAGGACTCGCGGCACCGGCGGAGTTCGCTGCCTGCAGCCCCACCCTCTGAAGACAAGGCCCACCTGCAGCTGCAGCACTTCACGCTCCTTGAGCTGCACCCAAGCCTGCGCCTCTCGGGCCTGCCGGGCCTCCTCCTCCGCCTGCCGCCGCTCCTGCTCCCGCGCCTCCTGCCGCAGCCTGGCCATCCTGGGAGGAGTGAGAGGCCGAGGTTCAGCGTGGCTGGGTGTCTCCGGGCCCGCAAAGCGTCCCCGACCTGCCTCCCGCCCCACTCACCGCAGCTCGCGCAGCCGCTTGTTCTCCGCCTGGTTCCAGGCCATCAGCTCGCGGTGCTCAGCGGCGTCCTCCAGTGCCTTGCGCTCTACCAAGACCCCGGCCCGGGCCTCGTGCACCTTCTTGCGCACCTCGGACACGAACTCCAGCCTGGACGGAGACGCGCCCAAGGTCGGCACTCTCTTCGCTCGCCCGCCCGCCCTCACACACACGCCGGACGGCACCGCCTCCCCCTCCGTCACACACACCTGAGGGCGCGCACCGTCTGGCGGTACTGCCGGTAACGCTCCGTCAGCACGAAGAATTCCGCAGGATCCACAGCGGGTGGGGTCGCCACGCGCCCGACCTTGGACTTGGCTGGCGGGTCGTGGCGGGTCTTGCGGCAGCGCGCGGGGAGCAGAAACGGGGCTGGGGGCCGGCCCATGGGCCGCAGCGCGCTCAGCGCTCGAAGCATGGCCAGACCACCTAGCGTCCGGCGCGCCGCCGGGCATCACTGGGTCCCGGAAGTGGCCGCGGGGCACCACGGGACGTGTAGTCCGCGGGCTCCGCCCCCACCCTCTGTTGCCCGCTGACATTTGCGTCCGCCCCCGCCCCCGCCCCCCGGAGCCTGGCTGTGTCCCCCCTGCGGGACTGGGTTCCGACCTGCATCCCTCTAGCCCCCACCCGGGGAAGGGTCTCAATGGAGAGAGAGGGGACAAAGGATGCAACAACTTCAGGGACCTCACACCTTTACTGGAGGGCAGCGGGGCGCGACGCTCGGGGTCGGGTCTGCGGGAGGAGGGCGCGATCATTCCCCCGGACGCTCTGGTCACCTGACCGCAGAGCTGCGGCCTTACCCGCCCCCTCCTCTCCTCCCCTCCTCTTCCCTCGCCTCCCGGCTTGGCCTAGCTGCGCAGGATTGGCCGACAGCCGGTATTGTGGCTCCCACGTCCTGCGGACGCCCCCTAGCCTCCTAGCGGACCCAGCCTGTGGTTCTCTAGCTCATTGGGCTTAACGGGCGTTGCCCACCTGATATCTAAAAACCCGAGCTCACACCGACTGAAATTAGGCGATAAGGTCTTGCCTTATAGGAATTTACGCTTTCTCCTTTAGTTATCGTGCTCCCGTGGTGCACCTTAAAATACAATTTGCAAAATAATAAACCATCTCCCTACACCTGTCTTCCGCTATTGGCCTTGGGGAGCTCTGCAATCACTGAGTCATTCCCAGTGCACGTATCAATGACCACCTGGTTATTGGGGCCGTACTGTAGAGTGTGAGGTCGCACCCCTCACCTCTTTCCACTGGCTGTGGGCCTGCCCACCTTGAGCCACACTGGCTTCCCTTGGCTGTCTAGAAGCCTAGGGGACTTCACAGCCGCCACTGTCCTATTTATGGAGGTTTGTAGTACCTCCTTCTACTCCACTAGTGACTTCTAATCTTTTACTTTAATCTAACATAGTATTTCATCATAAATTGTCTAGGATTGGGGCTTCCCTGGTGGTGCAGTGGTTAAGAATCCGCCTGCCAGTGCAGGGGACATGGGTTCGAGCCCTGGTCCGAGAAGATCCCACATGCTGAGAAGCAGCTAAGCCCGCGAGCCACAACTACTGAGCCTGCGCTCTAGAGCCCACGAGCCACAACTACTGAGCCCATGTGCCACAACTACTGAAGCCTGTGCGCCTAGAGCCCGTGCTCCGCAACGAGAAGCCACCACAATGAGAAGCCTGCGCACCGCAACGAAGAGTAGCCCCCCCCCTTGCCGCAACTAGAGAAATCCCGCACACAGCAAAAAAGACCCAAGGCAGCCAAAAATAAATAACTCAGTGATGTATCATTCCCCCTCACCCCCAGCCAGGTCTTAGCTTACTTACCAGCAGTGTCTGCACCAGGTGCTGCTTCCTGTGGAGGAGCCACCGGGCCATGGTCCTACTCTCCCAGGGCACACTGTCCTCAGGGGGAGCCAGAACATCGCTTGGGAGGTTGGGGACAATTTGGTCTGAGCTGCAGTGCCCAGAACCCTTCCTTAGAAGGGAACTGAGGCTGCAGCCTGCCCTTCCCACCTCCACCCAAGGCTTGAGGTAGATGAAAGAGCCCCAGCCAGCACCTTCTTCTCACTTAGGCTGGGGAGACCCTTCAACTCACCTGGGGGCCCAGGAGTATGTTGGGGGTCATGGAGTGAGCTGGAGGCTTGCTTTCCTTCAGGGTGCCAGCTGTGGGAGCAGTGCTGAGCCTTCGAGGGCTCAGGGTGGGTGGTCAGCAGCAGCACCAGGAGGCCTAGCCCAAAGCTGGCCATGGCAGGGCTGCTCCCATGGACAGTGGATAGCACTCAGGGAGTGCTCCCATGCATACCCCCTTCCTCTTCCTCCGGGGTCCCCTTGGACAACTGGCGTTTCAGGGGCAGCTTCAGTGTCTCCTAATGTTCTTCTCTCTTCTGCTATTGCTCCTTATACCAGGACTACAGGGGTCTGGACCCTGAGGGTTCCTGGCAACTAGCCACCTCTCAGAACCCCTGGGGCACAGAGGCTCCCTGCTTTGCCAGTTGGGGGCCTTCCCCAGTAGGGCAGGACTACCCTTTCTTCCCTCAGGGATTCCAGAAGTGAGAGAAGGTTGGAGAGGGGAACAGGGGAGTTGTTCAAGAGACAGGCAGCAGTGTGGGGGAATCTGGGGCACCCAGTGCTGGGGGATATTATTGGCAGGCCCTCAGCTCCTTTTCCCTGTGGGTTGCTCTCTTTCTTCCATGGCAGTTGGGGATGTGTGGTGGTTACAGGGGCAAGGGTTTCTACCCCTTGTCCCTCCCACGCTAGGGGCAGCAGGCACAGGAATAGTGTTGTTGGGGAGAGATGAGGGAAAGGGGGCTTTACTGGGCACGGGTCAGGGGTAGAGGGACCTGAGAGGGGGAAGAGGAGCAGTGTACCCAGAATAGAGCTCCATCCCGGAGCCCCAGCCCTGGGGAGGGCAGCCTTTTCACTCACCGAGGGAGAGCTGTGGATGAAGTGGCTCCTTTGAGGTGGTTCCTCCAGGCAGCAGTGGAACCCAGGCAGCCAGACCCAAGATTTATTGCTCAGGTAGTTCCACCCACTGCTCTGGGCCCACAGACTCCAATGACGTCTCAAAGAGGGGACGGGTGGCAGCTCGCCACCAACTCTCTTCTCTTCCCAGTGTTATGTTCAGCTGCTGGCTCTGGGGTCACCAGACAGATGCCTCCTCTTTCCACCTTCCCAGGGATCTGAAGTCACAGGACTCCTGCTTCAGCCTGGCCTATGCCCCTGAAGTCTCATCCAGCCACTTCCCTAGCTGCATTCTCAAGCTCCTGCCCTTAGGTCTAGAAAGCCCTCACAGCCCTCTCTGACACAGCAAATTATGGCCCTAAGAGAGGCAATGCCTGGGGTCTCCCTGAGTCCCACCCAGCTCAGGGCTTTCCCTGGTAGAAAAGTGGGGGCCTAAGAGTGAGGAGTCCAGCAGCCTGTTAAGAAGTCTGGGGAGAGCTATGACCACTCTTCCTGAGGGCTTGTTTGCCCACTTGTAAAATGGGTTGGGTGGGATGTCCTTAACCACACACCTGGGCACCAGGACTGGGTCACTCCAGGTGAAAGTAGGTTTGGGTGGGGCATAGCTACCCCACAGGTGGCCTCTCTCTCCTCCAAGCAGGTCCCTGACAGGGGGCCCAGTTAAGGGGGCAGTGCAGCCTTTGTGGGCCTATCCAAAGGTGGTAGGAATAATTTTGTCCCTCAAGGTTCCAACCCTTCCTCATCCTGTACTTGGCCCAGGACCATTCATGGATTTGGGCACAGCCCCTGGAACACCAGAAAAGGCTCCCGCCTTAGTCTGCATCAGCTCAGCTTTCCGCTGCCAGCCACCAGCCTCTGGGGGGCAGAGGCCAAATTATAGGGTTAGCCAATCTCCGCCTTTGGACAGCAATTTGAACAGCAAGTGCAAGGGCAGGGTCAGGCTGGGCATCGCAGTGTCTGGTCACTGGGAGAGCAGGTGTGTCAAATTCTGTGGCAGAGATGGGGGAGATGACATCATGGGCACCTCGACTTCAGCTGCCCAGGCGGATTTCCAAACTGACTTACCTGAAATGAATATTTGGACTGTATGATCAGTTAAACTGTTTTGGGAAACAGGTTTTGTCCCTTTATGTACTGGTTAACCAAGTAAATTTTAGGAAAACATTTGCTTTGTGGTTTAGTGAAAACAATTCTTTGAGTTCAGTAAACTAGCTTAGTTCTGGTTTGGGTTTACAGAATGTTTTATTCAAAGGCCCTGGTGTTTATTTTAAAAAAGGAATGGGGTGCCTTTATTTTTTCTGTAATTTGATTGTGGTTTTTCCTGAAAATTCCAAACAAGAACAAGCTTCCCAGGGGAAAGCTTCCCTTTCTTTCTGGCCACATAGTTCGCCTTTTAGGAATATTTGCTTTCCCCTTCTAGATTATAAACTCTGGAATTCATCCTTGTATCCCTCTCAGCAGGACACAGAAAGCCATTTGTTCACCACTGAGCTCTAGCTCACACTCAGCCCTGAGGCCACATGATTCCAGTCTGGGGGCTGCTGTACTCAGTTGGGAAAGCAGAGGTTTTGAGTTGAATGCTCAGGTGCTGTAGGAGCACAGAGGGGCTCACCCCCTGAGCAGGTGGTCTGGGTGAAGGATGGAGAGTTAGCTAGTCTCGGCAATAGGGCTGCAGTGGGTGCTCTAGGGTGAGAGACAAAATGGAGAAGAGCTAACACAGGAACTACAGGGGGATCTGGGGTGGGGCAGGCCTGTGGGTTTGGTGCTCAGTGGGAGTAGGGCTGGGATGGGGTGGGTGGGGGCAGAGAATGCTGGAGGCTGCACGAAAGGGCAGTGGGCTTTGGAGACTGGGCAAACCGCTGGGTGTGCGGAGCCTGAGACTGGTGCCTCTGGGCCACCCTGTGGAGTCACAGTAGGAAGTGGGGTGTGTGGACCAGGAGCTCAGGGCTGGAGGAGGGCTGAGGGTCCACACCTCACAGACTGGAGGAATGCCTGACCTCTGAGGAAGGGGGCTGTGGAGGAAAAGCTACAGAGTGAGGATAAAAGTCAGGAGGCAGTCATTACACCAAGGGGGGGGGTGCCAGTGGACAGGGAGACAGTGGATCCCTGGGGCTCAGCACTGAGGATGAAAGGGTAAGGAAGGAATATGCAAGAATGGAAGAACTTAGGCATGGGGGAAGTGCTTTTCTTTCCTTCTTTTAAATGAAAGATGAGCATATTGGGCAGGTGGGGGAGAGGATGAAGGAGCACCCAGGACAGAGACAATTTGATGAAGTGAGGTCTCTCTGCAAGTGTGGCAGGCCCCAGAAGTTTGGGTGTGCAGTGGGCACAGTCACAGCTGACTGACTGAGGAGTGGGCACTAGATGAAGCAATCTCCTCTGCCCTTCCCACACAATTGTGCCACGTGAGCTTCAATACACTTCCCTTCGAGCCTATGTCTCTTGACACCATGTGAGCTTTGAATAATACAGGAAAAGAAATAGGTGAAGAGGGAGTGATGAGCCATACCTATAAGCTGAGGGAGAGAAGGGAGCAAAGAGCTGGGGTAATTCCTGCTTGAAGATGTCTGTTTAGCAACCAGGGGATATGTTCGTTGCATGGCTTGCTGACCCAAGGCTTGCCCTCCTCCATCTGCCTGGACATGGTTACACAGAGGCACCAATAGGTAGCTTGCAAAGAGACAGGGTTTCCTTCCCAAGCATGGCAGCCCTCACCCGAAATTCTTTAGATTCTGTCTTTGCTTAATTTATCCATGCTTCTTTTAAACCTACTGACTTGTTCCTTGGTTCCTACAGAAGGACCACAGTACACCTACTGACTTACAGGACTTCACTCCTTGCAACCTTCCAGAAGGTGGTCTGTCATGGTACCCGGGCTTCGTGCATACACCCTGAATATGTGGTGCAGAACTTGGCTTCTATCTTGGAGCCACTGCGTCTTTGCTTGCCTGGAATCTGAGGCCCTCTGTAAAGCTGCTCCACTGATCTTTCCTCCTTTCGCTCATCTAAACTTCCAATATCCTGCAGGTCCAGTTCAAGTCCTACCTCCTCCAGCAAGCATGGCAGTGGTGATCTCTGTGCATTCCCCCATGGGCCAGGTGGGGGTGCCACCTCTCACTCCTGACAGCCCCGAGGTGCCCCTGGCCCCTGACTGGCCCCTGATCCTTAAGAAAGGCCCCGAGGGCTGCAAGGTTCTCTCAGCCCTGAACTGACAGTCATGGCAACCGGTTTCCTCTCCTGTTCCTGTGTTGGGCTGATCATGAAGAAAGGAGGTCATGAACAGACACACCCTTCCAGCTGTGCCCTCAACTAAAGACCACATTTCCCAGCACCCTTTGTAGCTCAGTGTGGTCTTATGACTAGGTTTTAGCCAATGGGGTATGAGTGGAAGTGAAAAGTGCAACTTTTGCTTCATGTCTTTAAAAATGAATTTGTTTGCCCATGCTCTTTTTGCTTCTCCATGGGAAAAGACAGCAACCTCAACCATGAGGATGAGAACAACATCCTAAGGGACACTGGGACCATGAGATGGAGGATACTGGGTCTCTGGACTGGGCAGACTGTTAACGTGAAAAATAAATGAACATCCACCTTACTTAAGACACTTTGTCTAACATGTTAGGCTCAAATTCGAGTTGGGATCTAAGACTCCCACCATCCTGGCCTCTGGATCTGAGGCACTTCCACATAAAAGTCCTGGAAATGAGGACAGAAATGAAATGGAAGCGGTTTAACACAATAAATGTAGATATAAACACTTGCTCTGGACAGAGCGACATGATCCAGATAGTTTTGCAGCAAAGCACCAAGGACTGGAGAGGTCAAATTGACTCAAACCCGAAAGCCAAGCCACCCCTCTCTCCTCCATGCCTCTGTACTTAGGGAAGCAGTGAGGACCCCGGCCATCTTCCCCAGGGAGCAAGGCTGGCTAGGACCACTGCACCAAAGATATGCTGGGAGTGAAAGAAGAGTCCTGATAACTACCTAAGAGCTAGAGGGGCTGTGTTTGTTGGAAAGAAGGAGCTAGGGAGACTGTGCCCTCTCTGCAGCCAGCTAAGACAGAACAGTAACGGCAGGGATGGGAGTGGCCCAGGAGAACCCCAGCCCTGGTATGACTGCCCCACCCCAGACAAAGGGAGAGACGTTTCCTCAGGGAGTCAAAGCTTTTATTACCTGATAATCCCTAGTGTGGTGCCAGAGATAACACTCTGGTCCCTCTACTCGCCATGGTGGGATGTAGGCGACGAGAAGGTGGGCAAGGGTGGAAAGGGGAGAGATTATTTAC